ACAAACAAACAAACAAACAAAACAAACAAACAAACAAAACAAACAAACAAACAAACAAACAAAACCAAACAAACAAAACAAACAAACAAACAAACAAACAAACAAACAAACAAACAAACAAACAAACAAACAAACAAACAAACAAACAAACAAACAAACAAACAAACAAACAAACAAAATCGGACGAAAACATGGAATTTAATTTGTTTACAGGGAACTTGCATGCATCGCTGTACAAGTATATTTGCGTCCTGATTCGCAGATACATAATCATTAATCTTAAAAAATATATTAATGCCGAGAATACGTAAACGCGGAGAGAATACGTAAAAGAGCCATAGCAAAAATATACTTCAAAATATTTACTAAAAAGCTAACGTTTCGTCTTCGTATAAGACATCTTCAGAGTAATGAGATACAAAGCAGACATAATCATTCAATCTGCACGCACGCTTACCAAGCTTCCATCAATCTTCATCACCATTGTCCAACCGCCGCCATAGCATCCTGAGACGTTAGTCATTTGACAGTACACGTCGATAGATTTATTTTTTCCAACACTGATTTGGTAAACACCATTTCCCTTGTTGCTGTAAGATAAACAAAATATTTTCTAACTTAATTTTCTATTTACAATTCATGCAATTTGGAAAATGATTTGAACAAGTATTAGCACTAATATCGATGAAGATCAGGGCTTACGGATCGAAAGCTATGCTGTAAAAAATTTATGTGGTGTTTCCACAAACAAATGATATGATTTAAACAATATATCTCTACCAAAACCAAAATTAAACGTATTTTCTCAAGCGAAGTTTTAAATCAGTGGGTTGATGTTGTGGAACAATTTTGCATCTGTGGTGAGAAATGGAACCTCACTTTTCAATTGCATTGCCGATCTGCCGTTTACTGAAACCATATATAGATTTGAATATACTGTAATTTATGTGATTTAGAAGAGACTGGCAAATGGGTATGTGTACATATTTTACGTATACGAACTTTCTCTTCTTCAATTTCCTTTGTAAGTGTTTAATAAATAACCTAATTAATGTATATATAGTAATTGTCGATGTGGTAGTTATACGGAATTAATAGCACAATTACGCCCCTTCTGTAAACCAGCTTAGCGCCGGAATATCGAAGCGGCGGAATATCGATAATTGCGGGGGCAGATATTCATATATTCGTGTTCACAGACTGTAAAAACAATCGATTTCAAAAGAGATTAATTGGGCAGAACACGAATATATGAATATCTGCCCCCCAATTATGGATATTCCGTCGCCTCTGATGTGTTGTGTGTATATGGGTATATATGTGTGTATTTTACTTGCGATAGATGAACCGGGCGGAAATTGTAATCTGCAGATAATACGTAAAAGATCCATAACAAAAATATAGTTTAAAATATTTCTTGGACAGCTAACGTTTCGTCTTTAACCTAAGACATCTTCAGAGCATTGAGCGGGAAAAGTTGAGAAGTCTTCTCATCAACAAACTCAAACCCTCTCTCAACTTACAAGGCAGTTTGGTCCCTTTACTTCTACTCTGGTCCAGTCCTCTTTCTACTTTTGTTTTATAATATCTTGTAAATAGTTGTAATTTATTCATATTCCTATGTCTTCCGCTTTGCATGCCATTGCTCTGAAGATGTCTTAAGTTAAAGACAAAACGTTAGCTTTTTAATAGATATTTTAAAGCATATTTTTGTTAACGTCATGGCTCTTTTACGTATTTTCTGCTGGACATTGACATTTATATTAAGATTATGTGTTTTACCTTGGGCTCGTCAATATTTGTTTGCATGATGTCAGCACTTCTGAAAAGAAAAATTGCGGCATTAGCAAATTAACTAATAGAGAATATATAGTAAAACACCGAAAGGGTGAGGGTGAAGCATCTAAATAATAATTGCATGTCATTATTATACATTCAAATGTTATTCTCGGTTCGTGATTGGTTTCAAAACCCCGGATAATTATCAATATTGTTATATTCGCTGCTGACGCGCAAGCAGCGAGAAGATTAAAATTGTTATTCGCTGTAGAGTCCAAGCCCCAGCGCCTTGTATTATTCGCTGTAGAGCCCAAGCCCCAGCGATCGGAATCTTGTTAAAAAAACCCTTTGAAAAATAAGCAGATCGACTTCTTAACCCATTAACGCCTGCTAGTTTCCTCTTATAGACAGAAAGAAATAACTTCATCGCCAAACTAAATTAATGCGAGGGGGGCTAAGCCCTTCTAATTCACGACTGCAAATTGCTCAGTAAAGTGGCCATGTCGCTGAGCATTTATTGTATGGCATCAGTCTGGACCATTTTTCATCTGCTTTACTTTGGCTTATTTATGACAAAATAAGGTTTACATTGCACGTATTATGTTCTTGGACCATATCTTGAAATAATTCAGTAGTTCGTCCCATCACAGTCTCGTTAATATTCAGTCAGTATGTATACTCTACGCATGCTCAGTTAAGGTAAGTTGACTCAACTTTATAAGTGTGGTCAATATAGCCTAGTTTCCATTTGGTCGTTAATTGTCGCTGGCACGACAAGTGGCTGATGTAATAGAATGTCAACAGAACTTTATAAAACTCTGCAATCATTAAGACTGATTTGCATATAACACACAAAAAGACTATTATAATATTAGACTATTTCACATCTACCGCTTGTCGTGCCAGCGACAACTAACGACCAAATGGAAACCAGGCTTATATGTGGCTGTAACTTTCGATCGTTTCAGGAAGGAGCTGAGATCCTTTGCATATTTTATGCGTTTAGCCCCCATGAGCTGTGATAGCTCATCAACAATCTCGTGCAAAAAAATGAGACTTTTGATATTTCATAAACTTAAGCTGGATCTAGATCACGTTGTCTCACTTGCCTGTTGTGTTTGCTCGGCTCGTTACATTCGGTGGCAGCGGGAAATATTGCAATGTCTGCAGTGTTCCTGTGAAAATTTGGTGATCGCGATTTTGATGCTTGGTTACGCGAATTTTGATGCTTGTTGTGCTGCAAATGGTTGGAAAGTAATCGAGGCTAACAGCGGAAAATCATAAAACTAGTGCCAACAGCCTTCTTGCTTGGTCGAGCGGCCACTATCTTTTCGTAGTGGTAATGGTTTATTGACACATTTAGTAGCAGTTACGCTTATTTCAAAGTGTTTACAATATAAGGATATAAAAAGCGTATATAATCTATTTATTTATGTATAAAATGTATAGAATGTGTATAAAATGTGTAGAATGTATAGAATGTATAGAATGTGTACAATCCTGGTACAATGTAGAATATAGCGCGTGTTGTCGTAAAACGTGACAACAGACTTCTGCCTCTACGTGTTGTCATGCAATGCGTCTAAGAGGGGTAGGTAGGTAGGTAGGTAAAACTTTATTTTACTACGCTATCCCCTACAACAAAAGCTGATTTCCAAGGGGGGCGTAGCATTAAATTCAAATTTACATTAAAAATTTAGAAAAATTAAACATACAAATACAGTTACTTACATGAAGTTAATACAATTACATACATAATTAAATAGGTTATTAATAGCAAGTTTTAATAGATTAAATGGTCAAGGTAAATATGTATTAGTTGAAAACTCTAATTAGTAGCCAGGTGTCATACGTTTTTGTTGAATATAGCTAGTGATTCTTTTCCTCTTAATTTATTTGGGAGACTGTTCCACAGTTTAGCCCCTCTATAGCTAAGACTTTTTTAAGATATTCAGTCTTAGCCTTGGGCAAATGGAGTATAGTGGAAGAGCCCCGCAAATTGTAGTGCTGGGAGGAAGACGTCTTTTGAAAAATATCAGTAAGTCGTAAGGGCGCTAGATCATGAGTAATTTTATACATAAGACTTGCCACAAACTGAGTACTGCGTTTGCTCAGAGGCTTCCAGTTTAATTCATTTAGAGCAAGTTCAGATTGACCATGTTCATTTTTACGACCCACGATAGCTCTAGCAGCCCTATTTTGTAATTTCTGGAGACGATCAGAAAGTGTGGTACCAATGGTGTCCCATACTTCGCAACAGTAATCAAGGTGAGGCAAAACAAGTGCATTATAGGCACAAATTAATGTATTACGGTCTACACATGGCGGACGCGGACTGGCGGACGCGGACTGGCGGAGGCGAACTGGCCTGCGCGCGTTTCAACCGCGTATATTAACTCGAAACTTACGGATATTCAAACTTAAGCATACATGATGATGATGATGATGATGATGATGATGATAAACTTTATTTAACCACGCTAACATTGTAAGCAGAAGCTGATTTCCACAATGGGCGTGTAAAAATCATTAACAAATTGTTACAAGTAAAATAATAAGGAAATATTAACATGCAGAATATAAAATTATTAAAATATATACAAAAAGTTTGCAATTTACAATGATGTGGTTGTCTTTATAAGCTATAGGTAGCGATTTTTCTTTTAAAACTTGAGAGCAAATTACTTTCTTTTATATTTTTTGGAATAGTTCCATATGGAAGCTCCATCATACATGAAACTCTTTTTCATATTGTTTGTGTTTGGCTTGGGCAAACGTATGGTACTTGAGCTGTTACGAAGACTGCGGTTTAATATTTCTTTTTTGAAAGTAAATAATTCTTTGAGACAATTTGGCCCCATGTTATTGAACGTTTTAAACATTATTTTTGCCTTTGCTTTCACTCTTTGTTCCTTGACTGGTTCCCATCCTAATATATTTAGCACAGTTTGTTGATCTACCTCATTACGCACACATGCTATTACACGGGCAGCTCTGTTATGAAGTTATTGGAGACGCGTGGATTGCGTTTCACCAAATATATTCCAAACTTGACAACTGTAGCTAAAGTAGGGTTGAATTATAGCATTGTATACGGAAACGAGTGTTTTTTTATCAACATATTCTTTAATGCTTTTGAGAGCGTATATTCCAGATGATACCTTTTTACATATAGTATCTGTATTGCTCTTCCAACACAAATTTTCATCAACAGAATTTAAAGTTGCTGAACAGAAGCTTTTTTCAGCATCTGTTTAGTACCAATAATTTGAAATTCAGTTTTTGCCACATTCAAGCTCAGTTTGTTTGCCATGAGCCATTTACGAAGCATTTCTAAATCTGAGTTTACTGCATCTTCAAGATCACTTAAGCATTCTCCAGCTGCTGTGATATTTGTATCATCAGCAAACGGCCGTGGTTTTGTTTTACTCAGACATGCAGGTAGATCATTAATATAGAGTAAGAAGAATAGTGGCCCCAATATAGACCCGTGGGGTACACCACATTTGACGTCATTTCCCCCTGAAATAGATCCATTGACTTCACATCTTTGAGTACGACCAGTTAAGTATGATTTGAGTAATAGAAATGCACTTCCTGTGATTCCAACTAGTTTTAGTTTTTGCAATAAGATCTCATGGTCAACAGTATCAAATTAAGGTTTATTTAGGTCTACAAATACAACCAAATTAAAAAGTTTTCTATCCATGTTTATGTACCGATCATTTGTGCAATCAAGTAAAGCTGTTGCAGTTGAATGAAATTTTCTGAAACCAAATGATGCTCAGAAAGTATGTCATTTGCACTCAAATATTCATAAAGTTGAGTATATAGGATACGTTCCATAATTTTACTAATGGCTGGCAACACAGAAATTGGTCGATAATTTCCTGGCAAGTTTCGTTTGTCATTTTTAAAAAGGGGAATTACTCTTGCAATCTTCCATTCATGTGGAAAAGTACATAAAGTTATTGCTTGATTAAAGATGTAAGGCCATATAAAAAAAAAATAGTTGGTTAGCGTCCTTGGCTTCTGCCAAAAAGTGGGCGGGCGGGCGCTTTTTTTTTTAATTTTTACTAATTTTTAACGCCTTGGTTTTACTCACTGTTATAGGTCCGAAACTGGATTTTCTTGCGCAGTACAGATATTTTTTTATATATTTCAAAATATAATTTATACCGTCATTTTCGCACGCAATTTCGCAAATTATTAACACAATTGACTACAGTCAACAGAAATACTACATATATTAGAGCCCGTTGATCAATAAAAGTCGGGTTTTTTTAAAATAAAAAATAAAAAAAAGTCCTGAGCGGGGCCTTTTTTGTGGGCGGGCGGGGACGCTAACCAACTATTTTTTTTTATGTGGCCTAAGTCAATGAATCGGAAATTAATGGTGCAGCCATTTTGATTATCTTGCTGGATATTTTATCCAGGCCAGTAGCTTTGCTACCAGACAGTTCACGTAATAAAAGACAAACACGACTAACAGTAACTGACTGGAATGCAGTAAATTCAGAATTAGTTTTGTCAAGGAAGTCTTTAGAATGACATTCTGGTGTACTAATTTCTTCGGCTAAATTCGGTCCCATATTTGAAAAGAAGGTATTGAAGCCCTCAGAAATTTTATCAGGGCTTGTTAATTTTATGCCATTTAAGTTTAATTCGTTTACTTAAGTTCTTTGATTTTGTTTATCAAGTAAGGTATTAATTGTCTTCCAAGCAGCTTTTGGATCTTGCTTTTCAGTCGCTATTTTATTGGAATAATATACCTTTTTGGTTTGTCTTAGAAGATTGTTGGTTTCATTTCTGGCTTTTTTTATAGTTATCCCAATCTGTTTCAAGTTTAGTGATAATTGCCTTTCTTTTCAAATTATCTCTTGCAGTTATTAATTTTTTTATATGACTAGTAATCCAAGGATTTTTTTTAGATTTTGTTTTTTTGTTTTGAATTGGGGCATGTTTATCTAGGACTTGTCAGAAAAGTTGTTTCCAAATTTCCCACATAGTGTCAGGATTGTTTGCAAAAAATAGACATGTTCCCATGTTTGAGTTCCTAGGTCTTCTAAAAACTGCTGTTGATTAAATTTTTTTATATTTCTAATTTCAATTATGTTATCATTATCTTTGTGTCGAATGTTAATCTTTCCTATGCCATAAATGAGACTTCACTAATTCCAGTATGTATTACACCACATTTGGATATTTTTCCTGGTTCATTGGTAATAAAATAATCAATAAGTGTGGAAGATGTCCTAGTGATCCGTGTGGCTTCATCGATTATCTGGGATAATTGATAAATTTCGAGTAAAGATTTAAGTGTCTTAGTTGGATGCTCGGGAATAGACTTAAAAAGGTCGCAGTTAAGATCACCGACTATATATATTCCCTTGTTTTCGTTATCAATCTTTTTTAATAGGTTTTCAAGATGGATAAAAAAATTCGATGAACTTAAGCATCTGGTGGTCTATAAACCGTAACAGCCACAAATGGTCTGCTATGCAGTTTAGTTATCTCTATGCATATAGCTTCTAGATCGGCTGGTATATGATCTTGTCTGATTTGATAGTTTATAGAATTACGTAGGTAAATGCAAACACCACCACCATTTCTAGACCTATCTTTTCTTATAATGCCATACCCATCCATATGAATCATACCATCAGTTATGGTTGAATTAAGTCTGGTCTCACTAAATGACATTATATCGAGTAATTTGTTTGACATAGTTAAGTTAATTTCATCAAATCTTTTTGGCAAGCTTAATATGGAAGCAGGCCATAATTTGTTTTACATACCGTTTCGACTCCAGTATGGAATAACTTTTGAGCGACCAGTAAATAGTTCTAGTTATGGCTAAACTACAAGTCTTTTACGCATGTGCGTACAGGCATAATCTTGTTTGGGTGGGGGGGGGCACAGTATTTGTTTCCCCAACTGCTTTGCATTATGTTGCACCGTACACATGTACAACTTTGTTCGAGATTTTTTCAGGGCTTTTTTAAGGATTTCCCGTGGGGGGGGGGGGGATTTTTCGAAAAGGGACCTTTCTACGAGATATATATTAGAAGGGGATAGCCATGTGGGCGACATACCATGCATGAATCCCTTGGGGTGTCTGGCCATGCGGCATGTTCCCGCAGAAAATGTACGAAATTTGAAGCCCGGAAATGCTATTTCCTGCATTCTGAGCATTCAAGTTTGCTTTAAAATTTATGACGTTCAATTTGAGCTTCCCTTGAGTGTCATTGCTGTTTTTGAATAGCTGGAAGATGGGTAGTTACACAGTAAGGTATGATACTAACCATACAGCTATTCAAAACCAGCATTGACATTCAAGGAAAGCTCAAATTGAACCTCTACTCTTTGAGTGTGAGCGCGAATGACCTTTTAGAATGCGGGCGTTAGTGGTAGAAAAACGTAACAACTTAAATCGATTTTGTTCAACAAGGACAAAGGATGAAGCCAAAACTTTCTTTCTGTTTATCTATTTGTTATTCTTCGCTGACTTGTTAGAATAAATTTAGGAAAATGGGACTTTTCTTGGAGGGATGACAAAATGCGATTTTGTTGGGGCACAAGAGGGGATATTTGCTCCCATCCCAGCTTGTATGTTATGTCCCTGGATTTCGTATATGCTTTTAACAAATGAGTGTGATTGTGTAATGGCGCTTTAGTATGTTCAATATATTCAATGTTTCCGGAATCTTCATAATCTTTCCGTCATCATTCATATACAGGTGTACTTCATATATGACAAAGTATGTTAAAGGCAATTAATATTGGCGTTAATTATATTTAATTATTGATTGTAGACCGCGGTTCTTCTTATCACATTTGACGAGAGTTATATGTTTTGCCCGGATAACACATGGATTTTTGCTCAATTGCCCGACCTTAAAAATTTTGGGGAGGGCCAGAGCTCCAAGGATCAACCCCCCCTCCAACCCTTCTGGCCGATGCGCCTATGCCAAGCTTTGCACTGTTTTGTCTTGAAACACTAAAAATAATGTATAAAAGATTCGTTGTTTTATTAATACTAGCTTTTTAGTCACTTGAACATGATGTCATAATGCAGTCTAATCGTCATTATAAACTTATTATCGCTTAGTTTCATCTTAAAATATGTGAAGAAATTAAGATCAATATTAACATACGTCTTTCTAAACGTTCAGGAGCCTTTTAGTGATTGATGTTAGGGCTTCAAAATTTCATACCTGCGCAAGTTTTCCCGTCTCCTACGAATCCGCTTTTACATTGGCAGAGGTATGAGCCTTGAGTGTTGTTGCAAGTTGCATTTCCGTGACAAGGGAAATTTTCTTCCAAGCATTCATCAATGTCTGAAAAAGTCAAAATATTATAGGCCTTAGAATTTGACCCTCTACTATACTACACCATACCATACCATACCATACCACACCACACCATACCATACCATACCATACCATACCATACCATATCATACCATACCATACCAAGCCTTACCAAACCATACTGTATCAAACCACACCAAACTATACCACCCCATAGCCTGCCATATCAAACTATGCCATAACATACCATATCATATCTTACCATATCATAAAATACCTCATTATTAACTCAAAGTTTAACTACTTACATTTACATAATAAACTTAAAATAACTCAAAACGAGGTTGCCCCTGCTCATATCCCTGGCATCCCCTTGTCCACGTTGCCTTTTTTCTTTGCTCACAATGGCGACAGTCACTGGAAGCTGCGACGATGAAGTTGTTATGTCAGAAATCCAGTCGAATCCGAAGACACCTCCAGGTAATCTTAACAGTGATACAATCGAACAAATTTCGAAAGCTGCACAGGATCAACTTTCGGCTATATTGCCGAGTATGATTCAAGAAATCAGCAAGTTAACACCTCGTACTGAAGGAGCACACATGTTGGCACAAACTCCCCAGTTAGCCGCCGGGTCAACACAAGGCTTACGAAAGCGTCCGTTGTCCTCCCGGTTAGCCGCCGGGTCAACACAAGGCTTAAATGAACAAACTGAACAAGTTTCAGACGAGAACGAGGACGTACAAGAGATTAATGCGGAGGAATTTGAACCTCCTGCAAAGAAGGCCAACCTGTCTGAATCCACGGAATTTAGTGACCTAAACGAAGATAGTCCTGGACGCTGGGAAGCTTCAGAAGAACTTTCTAGTCTTCTTAATGTTTTATTCATTAACAAAACGCTTTCTACATACGAACGAAAGCAGATAACTAAAGAATTCCCGCGTCCAAATATCGAGGCAGTATACACACTAGTTCTCGATAATTATTTGAGCTCACTGATTGCTGGAGCGAAAGGTGTAGACAAAGAGCCTCAAAGGCTCCAAGATCACATTTTAGATGTGGTTGGGCCATTATCGATGGTCTTTGAGCATGTATCAGGATGGCAATCAAGCCAAGACAGTGCCAAGACAATCACTGTACCTTCGAACAATATTAATGGCATCTATGCATGCCTGACAAAAGTCCTGTGTTTATTGGGAAGTATTAACAATCAGTTAACAGTTCAGTGAAGAAAACAAATTTTGGATAAACTTAATCTAAAGTTAAATTCACTTGCCACTGAGCCATTTCCAGATGCCGGCAAGATGTTGTTTGGTGAATCCTTTGAAGAAAAGATTAAACAAAGGAATGAAACAGCTCGGATTATTTCAGCAGCAACTGCAAAGAAACCAGCAAATCAGTTTTTTCGCAGAGGGGCCCCCTCCAGTTACCGCCCATGGCGTGGGGGCCAGGAACGGTACAGATGGAATTACCAAGCCCGAGGAAGGTACTCCTTTCGAACCCGTGGCCGGGGGAGAGGCAGATTCCCAAACCGTCAATTCCAAACATCCCAGTCACAACAAAGCCAGCAGTGATTGCTCAAAGTGGTCAAATAACAGGTATATTAAAAAACGAAACAAACTTAACACATTTCCCCCAAATAAATGCATTGTGGGAAAAGTTCGGGCTGCGTCATGTAAGCTCAAACCAGTTGCCACTAGCAGGTCGTTTAAAATATTTTGTAAAAAATTGGGAATTAGTGACAAACGACCCCTGGGTACTCCAGGCTGTGTCAGGGTACCAAATTTGTTTTTCAAATCTACCATTCCAGAAAACTATTCCGACAATGATGGTGTCAGTAGAGGACCAAGAGGTCATAAACAAAGAGGTGGAAGAATTGATAGGAAAACAAGCAATACAATATTTTCCACCACAACAACACAGCACATGTTTTTTAAGCACGCTGTTTGTGGTCCCCAAGATAGGTGGGGGCCAACGGCCAATTTTCAATCTCAAACAATTGAACCAATTTTTCAGTACGAACATTTCAAAATGGAGGGCATACATATGCTGCGAGACCTTCTGCAACCAAACGATTATATGGCAAAAATCGATCTAAGAGATGCCTATTTTACAATTCCCATTTAGAATGATCACCAAAAATTCCTTCGCTTTCTTTGGAAAGATACCCAATGGGAATTTATGTGCCTGCCTTTCGGATTGGCCAGTGCCCCACGCGTTTTCACAAAAATCCTAAAACCAATAGTTGTTTTTTTAAGAAAACAGGGCATTCGATTAATAATTTATCTAGACGATATATTATTGATGGCATCAACAACCGAAACACTGTCACATCATGTGACACTTACAGTAGCACTCCTAGAGTTGTTGGGATTTGTGGTAAACTACCAGAAATCCCAACTGAATCCAGTTCAATCTCTCGAATTCCTGGGTTTTCAAATAAATTCGGTAACATTCAAATCAGTCTTCCCAAAGACAAAGTAAAAAACATCAAACACGAATGTCAGAAAGTCCTAAACCACCAAACAATAACCTGAGATCACCTCAATGCTTGGAATGGAAGGGCTCTGTTGAGAGAGCCTCCAACGTTGATCATCGAGACAGATGCATCAACAACAGGTTGGGGAGCTCGTTGTGGGCAAACACAAACCAGGGGCCTTTGGTCCCAAACAGAGCGCTTGTTACACATAAATTGTCTGGAACTACTTGCAGGGGAGTTCGCTCTCAAATCATTTCTAAAGAGCAAATGCAATATCCATGTTTTGTTGCTCATGGACAACACGTCAGCCATAAGTTACATAAACAAAATGGGTGGCTCAACATCGTTAGTCCTATCCAGCCTCGCCTTCGACCTTTGGCAATGGTGTCTCGAACACTCAATCACGGTCGAGGCACACCATTTTCCAGGGAGACTGAACACAGTAGCCGACTACGAATCCCGAGCTGGTCCAGATTCCAGCGATTGGCAACTGGATCCAGTTGTGTTTCAGAAAATCAACTCCAAATGGGGTCCTTTTTCAGTAGATCTTTTTGCAACAAGACTGACAGCGCAACTGCCAAGAATTGTGAGTTGGAAACCAGATCCAGTGGCAGAGGCAGTGGATGCCTTTACACTGGATTGGTGCCAACTCGCAGGGTGTGTTTTCCCTCCATTTGCCCTAATAGGGCGTTGTCTGAGGCAGATTAAACAACAGTCAGTTCCTCAAATAACCATGGTCACACCAGTGTGGGAGACCCAGTCCTGGTATCCGCTACTGCTGGGAATGATAATAGAAGCCCCAGTGCTACTACCATCATTCCCAGGGTTTTTGAGACAAGAAGACAAACTACATCTTCTTACTCACCTGCAATTAGCCGCATGGCGTGTCTCAGGAGAAATTTCCAAAGTGCGTCAATTTCACAGGCAGCTCAAGGACTTCTCTTGGCTGCATGGAGAGTCCGAACAGAGAAGACTTACTCTTCTGCCTGGCGGAAGTGGACTGGCTGGTGTAGTGAACAACAATTCAATCCACTTTCAGCACCTTTAGAGGCCATAGTGAACTTTATAGCTATTCAGTTTGAATTAGGGCTAGAATATCGTACACTCAATGTTTATCGGTCAGCTATATCTGCTACACATCCACAGATCCAAGGTTGGAATGTAGGCGAGCACCCGGTAATAGTTAAATTGTTGAAAGGGATTTTTAATTCTCGTCCTCCTATGCCTATGCCTAGGTATATTAATACTTGGGATGTGAATGCAGTCACAAAGTATTTTGAAAGTTGCAGTGCGAATTACAAACTAACATTAAAACAATTGAGTAAGAAACTAGTTGTGCTGCTAGCACTTACTTCGGCAGAAAGAGGCTCAGAATTAATTGCTCATGATTTAAGGTTCAGGGGATTTCATCCAGAAGGGGTATCGTTTAACCTTCCGGAGCTTACCAAAGGAGTTCGTACAGGGAAACCACTGAAAATCTCTTTTCATGCAAATTTTCCCACAAATGAGTTGCTGTGTCCTGTCGCATGTCTCAAAGAGTATGAGAAACGAACAAACAATTTTCGTCCGAGTTCCAGCAAAGAACCAAATAAACTGTTTGTATGTAATATTTCAAATCCGAGTTAGTGTTTTAGACGTGGTTTCTAAATACAAGTGCCATGAACAATGGCGAGGCGCAGCCGAGCCATTGTTCATGGCACTGGGGATTTGGAAGCCAAGTTTAAAACACTAACGAGGATTTGAAATTGCTACTCACACATCATTAGACTTTCATAGCAATGAGGCATGAAATTATTAGATATTCAAAAAAGTGAGCGTGGCCATTAACGATTACATTCGCTTGAAAGTTTGCATGAAGTGCAACGAAGCATTCAGTTCGCTTTCGTCGTGAATAGATTAATTTTGTTGGCAAAAGAGCATGGTATCTTCTTATAATATAAGAAAAAGCGGTTTCGAGAACCAGAAAGTGTTGAGCACAGTATTGTGCACAGTATTGTCGCTCGGCTGACAAGGTTGGGGATCCGAAAAACAATATATCAGATTGTGTGTGCGATAAGGCGCTATCTGGTGGAAAATGAAAGAGCCGAAGTGAATATATATTTTATAGACGGTAAACATTACTGGTAAGTTGCTGTATTATAGTGTTTAAAGCGCTGTTTATTATGATAGTTGGTAAAAAAGTTGGTTTTCCTATATTTATGTAGTTTTCAAACGTTCAGGAAAAGTGTTAGCTATAAAGTGTAGTTAGAATAAATTTCTAAATACAACTTACTGTATTTAGAAATAATTCTAAACATAGCAATTAAATATATTTGCATAGTCTTTTGTTTACCCCTCAATTTCCCTATTGTTCAAAGCCCTTCCCACTTGAAGTAATTAAAGTCCTGGTCTAGACGGGATATCCAGATAGATACACGTGATGTAAATTAAACCATGTCATTGGCCGAAATGCTATGAATATCTAATGATGTATGAGAACAGTAAATAAACCTCACAAACCTATAACCTCCTCAACGTTGTCCCATTGGGTAAAGGATTGCTTACTAGAAGCAGGAATAGACAACAATGTATTTAAAGCACACTCTACAAGAGGTGCATCGACGTCTGCAGCAGCTAGAGCTGGTATTTCTCTTCCTGAAATAATCAAATTGGGAGACTGGACAAAGGATAGTACCTTCAAGCGATTCTATTATCGTCCGGTATGGAATGCTACTGTAGGTCGTTCGATATTACACAATGCTTCAGTAGGATGAGGCTTTAAACTTACATTGTTATATCGAGGCGAGTATTATGAAGTACAATTGGGGATTATGCAAAGGCTGCTTGCAGCCTGCAGCATAAGCATAATTGTACGAAATAATAAGAAACGAGATATAACAATGTAAATCCCACCCACCTCTACCCCTAGTTATGTGGAGTTTGTTATGTTTGTTATTATTATTTTCTTTTAGTTTGGATTTATATTGATGGTCCATGGTCTTGGATTGTTCCCCCGATATGCCAGGGATATGAGCATGGGCAACCTCGTTTTGAATTAAAGTTAATATATCCTGTAAATTGCTATTGTGAGTGAAGTTAATAAAGGGCATTGTTAATAAGTATATTAACTCATAAACTTTATAAGTGTGGTCAATATAGCCTATATATAGTTTCCATTTGGTCGCTAGTTGTCGCTGGCACGACATGTGGCTGATGTAATAGAGTGTCAACAGAACTTTATAAAACTCTATTATTATAAAGACTATTATTATACTAGACTATTTCACATCTACCGCTTGTCGTGCGACAACTAACGACCAAATGGAAACCAGGCTTATATGTGGCTGTAACTTTCGATCGTTTCAGGAAGGAGCTGAGACCCTTTGCATATTTTATGCGTTTAGCCCCCATGAGCTGTGATAGCACAATCTCGTGCAAAAAAATGAGACTTTTGATACTTCATAAACTTAAGCTAGATCTAGATCACGTTGTCTCACTTGCCTGTTGTGTTTGCTCGGCTCGTTACATTCGGTGGCAGCGGAAAATACTGCAATGTCTGCAATGTTCCTGTGAAAGTTTTATGATTGCGATTTTGATGCTTGGTTACGCGAATTTGATGCTTGTTGTGCTGCAAATGGTTGGAAAGTAACCGAGGCCTAACGACGAAAAAATTTTTTGGGGGGGGGAAATGGAATTTTTAACAAGGTCGCCCCCCAGGAGATTCGGCCCCCTCAAAAGGGGGGCGATATTCTTAGGAATATCGCCCCCCCCGGGGAAGAATATCCTAGGAATATCGCCCCCCCGGGGGGGATGGGGCGAATACCCTAGGAATATCGCCCCCCTTTAGGATATTCGCCTCCCATATATGCGATGTGGTTTATTCAGATAATTTCGTGATACTTTCATCTTATCAGTGCCTTCACGTTTGAGAATTTAACTCTGCAAAACTAATGTTTTTTGGTCTTTTTTGAAACGTATTACTGGAGTGTTGGCAAGTTTTACCATTCAAAGATTAACAAATTAATATTGAAACTGTAAAAAACAGTTTCATGTATACGCGCATTCACTAATGAGTAATGACAACTTATAAGCCAAACATTTTCCGATAACGACAAAACGCTTGTGTAGCCTTCTATAGCCCTTCTTAGTGACTAATAATTTTTTTGTGGGGGGGGAGGCAAAATGGGAGGGGAGGGGGAATTGGGGGAATTGGCGCCACCACCGGTGACAACAGACTTCTGTCTTTACGTGTTCTCAATGCGTCTAAGAGCCCGATTGAACTGGCTGCTGGTGAGCATTATATTTAACAGATTTTTGTCCTTTGATAGAATCGTGCCTGTCACAACCCAACATTTGTGGGGCGGTTGTGAATAGTAGGACATCACAGCTTATTTCAGATAAAAATAGAGCCTATAATTGACCCGCCATTTCAAGTTGAAGATGTAGGTGCAAGTTAAAAGAATTTGCCAATTTGAGTTTTCGGATGTTTTTGACGAAAGTTGCATGCATATCATTATTGTATAATCTTTTGTATTTGTATAGTTTTCTCCGGGACTTTCTGAAAAACGGGTGTGGATATATAATAGACAGGCGCAAACCAAATGTGGACTGGCGGACGCGGACTGGCGGACGCGGACTGGCGGACGCGGACTGGCGGACGCGGACTGGCCTGCGCGCGTTTCAACCGCGTATATTAACTTGAAACTTACGGATATTCAAACTTAAGCATATATGAAAATATCTCCACTTTGGTTGGATTTATATTCTCTGCAATATGGAGCGAAAAATTGTTGCCTAAACGAGGGGTCAAAATGCGCGCGTTTCAACCGAGTATATTGACTCGAAACTAACGAATATACAAACATAACGCATATTTATCGAAAGCTAATGAAAATATCTACATATTGGTGGGATTTATATTCTTGTAGCCACAATACTGAGCGAAAAATTGCTGCCTAAACGAAGGTTTCGAAACTGTGACGTCGGAGTACAGAATATAATTTCTAGCTGGAATATACCTGTCTGATTTTATGTGCGCATTTCAAAGCGTATATTAATCCGAAACTTATGGATATTCAAACTTAGCACAATTGGAAGAAAGCGTCCGCGTCCAGTCCGCGCCCGTCTTTTATCCATGCCCTCTGAAAAACACAACTTCTGATGTTGGTTTTGCTTAATAAATACTCTTATCAATCAATCAATCAATCAATCAATCAATCAATCCATCAATCAATCAATCAATCAATCAATCAATCAAAAGTTTAGGACACACAAACATCTTGACACATGAAATTCACACAGGGAATAGCATACCAATTAGGCAACATCCTCGTACGTTGCATTCCTTATATGCCCACCCACAGGGGGTCCAACTAAGAGCTGTGTTATGAATATGAATAAAACATCATATTAATTAAACGTAATATGAATAAAACATCATAACGTAATATAGTTAAATTATTGCACTTACTTGTATAAATCATAAGAGCTTACATTTATAGTGAATAGCTTCAAACATTGCTTCGAACGATGATTCACAACATAAACAACATAGTTTGCTATTGTTCAAATATGGCGAATAAATTGACACAACGAAAATATTACATGGCGTTCCTACGAAAATAACAGCAAGGATTGCTGGCGCGCGAGCGGAAAGGCGAGGGAAGAATAAATTAATAGAAGGGATGAAACACCGGTGTATTTGTAACGCTTGGTTAATTAGTTGATATATTGATTAGTTAGAAAGACATGGCTACGAATGAATGGTGACTTTGTTGTAATGTGGAGGTATATGTGTGCCTTCAAATTGCATATGTATGCCTTCATATCAATTAATATTATAATTACCATTTTGACAGATCTTTCCTTCGTACCCCTTCTTACATAGACAGTTGAAAGGTTTAACTGGATCCCAGATCATTGTTCCACCATTGTGACATTCATTCACTTCTCCTCTGCACGATGCCTGCAAAATAGTTCATTGCATGATGACATGCAAACATACTGGTATCTATTTTAGAGACTGACAAAGTTTAAATACGGGATACATTTTTTTCTTTAAAATAATGCATGGATTCGTATTTCAACCAACATTTGGGTACACTACAGTAATTCCCTTTTAGTTGAATGTCAAACGCCAAAATCTCCCTGTTGTTATTTGTCTGTTCTGCATGGCAGGCGATAATCTGGCACGGGTATAATAGCGAATATTCTCAAATTGAGAAAATATGGGTAATACGCCTTGAGGTGTATGCTAAACGGGTGGCATTTGGATCAAGCAACGCGCATATAATTCAAAGCTTAAATATAGTCAAAACACGACATTTTATGTGAACTTGTAAAAAAAAATACGACCGCATGTTCAAAACCTCCTCATGTCCAACTTTGAAAAAGGGCTACATAGATCTGCTAGGAATTATCAAATAATTTACCATACCTTTTGCCGAAAACACCTTAGAGCGATCAAATTAAGGTTTCGATATATATGCGTAAGGATGTTTAAACGTGGATCGATTCTGGTATTAATGGGAAGGTATACTCTTTGTCCACAAATTTTGTATAAAGTATATGTAATTGCTTACCACCTGACTTCGGTCTACATTATCTTTGATGAACGTCCAAACTCGCCTTTCTTTGCTGGCATTAATGTCAAATTTATGTTCAGTCGTATTTGTTAGCTGACAGTTCCATTCATTCCCCTCAGACTTCTCCTTATAATTGAATGCAACGCAGAAACGGTGTTCTGCGCAATTAAGGCCGCAAACCTCATACGTTGGTTCTCTCAATTGAACGATGATGTTTGTTTTTAATCTAGTCACATCTAAAAAAAATACTAATTTATTCATTCGCCGGTTTCATATGACGTCACGTGTTGGTCAAGGGTCCGTGGCAAGGGTAAAGGAGGGCTGTTATGTTGTCTATATTGTTTTATATTGGCTTTTAGACCCAGTTTACACGGTACTGGATGAATTTGGGACCGGGCTGAAACGCGTACTTTCTCGCCTGTTTGGACACGAATTCGTCCTGTTAGGGGGTTCTCAAATTCGTCCGATTCCGTGGTTTTAATGTAAACGGAAGGCCGAAACGGACGAATTTCACCCAGTTCCAAATTCGTCTGGTACCGTGTAAAGGCTAATTTGCACACCGGAAATTAAGCAGCGGATCGGACCGGATCGGAGGTTTTTCCGATCCGGTCTGATCCGGCAAGCGATTTCCAGTCAAACGACAAGTAGAATGATCGGATCGGAAAAGGAAAAAATGGAGCTCGTTCTAGTCTCACGAATTACTATTTTGCGCTTATTTCAAAACGGTAGCGGCTCTGAACAAGCTTGGCCTTCATCAGATTAACAGATTTGGTTACGTCGTCGCCAGCAAAGGAGAAGCAAACAAGAAAAATACAAAAACAGCATTTGGATAAGAAAAATTTTCCAGGAAAGATAATGGAAAAGTAAATACCACTTATTGATAGAATTGTTAAAGCTAACATGAATATTTTTTAAGCAATTTCGTATGAAAGGGCTGTTATACTAAAGAGCTGTTATACTCTCCAGTTCGTGTAAATTCTCCCTCGAATTCTCCAAGAAAGCTCCTAAATTATCCTCCATTTTGTAAATTTTGTACAGGTATTATTTAATTATTTTAATTTATGTGAGATAATACGGCATTTTGATTGGTCGTCAGGTTTAATCCTTGGACCGGACCAAAAAAAGTTGAAAATATTTCAAATTTTTATTATCCGGCCAGCAACGTCGCCGGATCAATCGGAACCAAAAATTTCTACTGATGGCGCATGCGCAGAGTTTGTTTTGTTCCGATCCGATCCGCTGCTTATTTTCCGGAGTGGAAATTAGCCTTAAACGGGGTCTTATAATAGTCGTAGAACTCATTTACATAGGATGCCATTTTGTTTCCTAGCTCTTTTGGTTGACTTTATTTCAATGATTGACCCAAACTTGAGTCAAATTATGCTAAAATATCAAGTAATCGAAACAAATTATCTCTATTTCTTTACAAAACTTTACAAAACTTATATTTCGCGGTGTATCCCAAAATACGCGTGTAGTTCTATAATTTCCGAAAGACATATAAAGCAAACTAGGTCTTAAAAACGTTAGTTGTTTTGTCAGGAAAAATCGCAAATCATAGATCATGAGATACGTTACGGCTTTTCAGCTTTTGTAACCTGAAGCGAACGTCAACAACGCAGCTGAGAGAATAAACACTTCTCACGCGTCACACGCTTACTTTGGAATATTCGTCTGCGAAAGACATTCATCTACAACTGTCACAAAATGATACAACGCACTTTTTATTTTTCAAACAGCTTGTTGGTTCGCCAAGAATAATCGCAAAGCACAACCAATGTAGGAATAGAAAATCCGGGCGGGCATTAAGACTATCATCACAGTTCGTTTAGTCTGATATAAGCGATGTTTTGTTTGTCTTCACACTGAATCTTATCCAATTGACTGTAAATTATGCTGAAGTTTGAATTATGTCAAAAGCAGCCCAATACCTTTTGCAAAAAGGTCTTGGAATCGTTTTATGAAAGAACGATAGGACCCCCCCCCCCCCCCCCCCCGGATAGTTTTGTTTAAGATTCAAATTTCAAGTAGTTTCAGATTCAGTTTCAGATTCGAGCTGAAACAGCGTTAGTCTGCGTAAATCCTTCAAAAGCAGCAACTGTATAAATCGGCAGATACACTGCAAAGAAAGACATTCATCTACATTACTGTGCGCTTCATTCTGTGTGGTTTTTATTGCGATTCAGCAAACCATGTCCGCAGGGAAAATCGCAAAAGATTGTTATTTTAGACTGCTCTTGTACATGCAGACATGGCTTGTCAAACAGTTGTTGTTGATAACATGTATTAGTCCTATTTTTTAATAAATAAAGGCGCGTATCAAATCTTTTCAAGGAGGACATCTTTTAATGCATTAAATCTGATGATATGAAGAAGTGTAAGAGTTTGAAACACTTTTCTGTAGCTCAGGAAAAATCGCAAAACACAACATGTCACACTTCCGGTTATATTAACTTCCTGTACGTAATACTAGATCCAGTCTCCTACTGTTATATAAACACGCGTACTCACCATAGCCGCCATATTGTAACATATTTTCAATAAAGCTAGTTTCAAATAAAACGTGCAAGTTTACATGGTGTCAGGTGTGGGATTGATGACTAGAAGGTCTAGAAACCCAACACAATAAGTACTTGGTTACTTGTTAACAAAATGAGTGATCTAGCTGGCTTTGAACCGCCAAGAATCGATTGGACACCCGGACCAGATCTGCCACAACGGCTCAAGCGATTTCGGCAGAAGTGTGAATTACTGTTTGATGGCCCTTTGAAAGATCGAACTGTTAAGCAGAAATGTCGATATGTTCTCCTATGAGTAGGAGACTGGATCTAGTATTACGTACAGGAAGTTAATATAACCGGAAGTGTGACACAACAGACGAGTTGTAGATTTTACAACCTGAAGCAAAGGCAACTGTAAAGTTAATCGAAGAAATGTTTCTCACGCGGCATGCTTTAAATGTGGAAGATTCTTTTGCAAAAGACATTCATCTACGACTATCATAGAATCCTATAACGCATTTTTTATCGTCAAACAACTTGTTGTTTGGGCAGGAAAAATCGCAAATCACAACATGTGTTGAATTCAAAAATCCGGACTAATTAATACTTAAAGAAAAAGTATTAATTAATTAATTAATTAATTAATTAAACTTTCCCAAACGTTCGTTTAGACTGATATAAACCAAGTATAATTTGTCTTCACGACAAAATTAATGTTCACTAGCTGACTAGGAGTTATGATTAAATGTTGATATGCTCAAAAACGGTCCTGTACTTTTCGCAGAAAAGGGTTTGGAATCGTGTTATGGAAGGACAACAGGATGTCAGCCGCCCCCGGATGTCTTTCGTTAAGATTCAAATTTCATGTAGATTCAGTTTCAGACTCGAGCTGAAACAGCGTTAGTCTGCGTAAATCCTTCAACCACAGCAACGGTATTAAACCAGCAGATACCGCAAAGAAGGAGAGTCATCTACATTATTGTGCGCTTCATTCTGTCTGGTTCTTATTGCGACTCGGCAACGCATATGCGTAGGAAAAATCGCAAAAGATTGTTAAAGTGGAAGTCAAGTCCGTATGTAAACAAACGGTTTGTTTACATTTTGAACTGCTGTATTTTTTAAATATGATGTACTGTCTGAATATCTAATACAATTTTGGTTCGCTATGCTTCTAAATGAATATGAAATAGAGTTTATGTTCAGAAAAATTCGAAACATTCGAAATTTGGTGCAATGTTCACATTAGAGGTCCTCACATTGTTATGAGCAGAACCCTACCTCCTCCGCAGGCCCTTTTCCGGGCAAATTTGCGGGCGGTGCAAATTTGCGGGCCACTTGAAGAACAATCTCGTTCCCAGAGTATACCTGTTCGCGGGTTATGTAGTGGCACTACAAAACCTGCAAACAGGCATACTCTGGGAACGAGATTGCTTGAAGTACAGAACAAGAACAGTTTAGAACTGATAGAGCTATCCAGTAGGTAAAATAAAATATAAAACAACGGTAACTCCAAAAATAAACATTTTACTAATATTCTAGCTTTCGACTAAGATTCAGTCATCATTCCTTTATTAAAATACTCAGTGGTTCCCGTAATTTTAGATAAAATAAAATTAGTTTATTTTAGGTTTCCTCCTGTAGTTTTTATTATTATTATTAAAAATTTTATTTTACAACGCTTATCCTTCAACACGCCTAGGTTATTGATTTCCAAGGAGCCGTTCACACTATATGAATCTATATTTACAAATGGAAGCAATACATAATAATTACATAATGTCAAAATTATAAAGATGTTACACATTAATTAAACACCTATTACTAGTTATAAAAGATATAAAACCATGCAAAACTGACTGGCCTTAGTTACATTTACATTTAATGTTTAATACGATCAAGCGCAGTCTTAAATTGCCTAATTGTGGCATCACTTGTTTTTACACATCTTGGTAAATTATTCCATGTTTTAGCACCATTATAGCTAATGCTTTTTTTCATAAAATTTGTTTTAGGCTTTTGTAGAGTAAACTCGTTTCCGTTGCTAAGTAAATTATAATTAATGTTATTTTTAATTTCAAACAAGTTCATCAAATTCTCTGGTAATTCATTTCTCTTCGCTTTGTACATAAATACTAAACTATTTTTTTCCCAATGATCAAATAGGGGTTTCCAATCCAGTTCCCTCAAAATTTCGTTTGAAGCTGTCTCGTATGATCTGCCAGTAGTGACATTGAACCAATAAAGGACCACACTTACATACCATACTGTAGCATACTATACCATACGATATCATATATTACCATACCATACCATAACATACCATACCATACCATACCATACCATATCATACCATACCATACCATACCACACCATACCATACCATACCATACCATACCATGCCATACCATACCATACCATACTATACCATACCATACCATACCTCTAGTAATTATATCCAGCATAAATAAAATTGATTTAGTTCAGGTTTTTCCTTTAGTACACTGGAACAGTCATGAGATGGCACTAACACGTGTATGCTTGACGTCTATGAAAAACATTTTAAAACTGATCGAAATAACCATTATAAACAAAGTTAGTTATTAACCATTATCTATTTTTTATTCCAGATACATTTTGGGTAGTAACAGAAGGTGCAGATGGAAAAATCAACTTTACAATTCCTTGTCACTTCTCAAGCTAACAGTGCAGCAGTACAGCACGAAGCTTTTCTTTTCCAAGTAAAGTCAGTAACATCCTCCGGACAGAGGACGAATGCAGGCAAGGCAAGACGTCTAGCTCAGGAGATTTCCTCACTGTCTACCACACTACCGTTGTCTTATAGTTCCAGCGTGTTTGTACTGAAGATCAGTGATGAAGAACGACTGGACCTAAGCGCCTGCGGAGGAAGTAATGCAGAACCGATGCGCAGAACGGACTTACACTTAAATATTATGCACACTGAGATTGTTATTATGAAATTTGAATCTGAAACAATAAAATCCGGGGGGTTGATATCCTATCGTCCTTCCAAAGAACGATTCCAAACCCTTTTTCCGCGAAAAATATTTGCCTAATTTTAAAGTATTTTAAACTTGATCATCATTTACAGTCAACTGGTGAAGATTCATTGCGAAAGCAAACGAAACTTCGCTTATACGAGACTAAACGAACTGTGGTGAAAGTCTTAATGCCCATCCGGATTTTCGATTCCAACAGCGGTTGTGTTTTTCCTGCCAAAACAACAAGCTGTTTGAAAATAACAACTGCGTTGTATCATTTTGTGATAGTTGTAGATGAATGTCTTTCGCAGACGAATATTCTAAGCTAAGCGTGCGACGCGTGAGAAGTAACATATGAACAACGAGAGCGAGTGTTTCATAACACGCCCCATTCGCGCGTCAATTGTCAAAAAAGAACCAGTGACAGCAACCCAAATATTAACAAACAAACTCGCATTAAAATGTTGCGGGGTTTTCTCTGCTTTAATATTCAAAATAGAAACAAAACAAATCAAACAATGTGTAAATGCCTGTGTTAAAACTCCAAAAAAGCAAGCAACGCAGTCAGTAATTGCCAAATTTACAAGTGCTCATTTTCAACTAAAATCGGAACAGGCAAATTAAGACGAATTTCAACAGAAAACCAGTCTCAAACTTCAAATCGTGAGGGAAGTCGTGCGACAACATCAGCATTTATAATGTGTGCTTCGCTGTCGCCATTGTTATAAATAAATTGTCTCACTTATCAGATTGTGTGTGCAATTCTTGTTGGCGGCGGAAAGTACGAAATTTATTTCAGTTATTTCATTTGGTGAGAACTCTATACAAAAGAAGAGAGCGTTGAGAGTCCAGATCGTTTCGTTTCAAACGGCAATTGAATACCGTCTTCTGTTTTGCTCTCTCAGCGAAGCCTTGTAAATCGCAAAGTATTTTGAATAGGCTTACATGCAATTGCATCTCAACATCAACCAAAAGATAATTTTCTTGAGGAACATATAACGTATCAAGTCTGTTTGAAATTAATGAAACTCAAAGTAAAGGTTACTATAGTTTACCCCAGTCGTATTAAATGTTGCTATTCCAACACCTCACGACAAGCAATCCTCATTGGCATAACGGTAAAAACATCTCTTCCTTCAAGTAAACAATAAACAGTCTGTTCTTGTTCCATTTGTAATCGAAAAAAGTTATCAATTTTCGAATTTTAACCTTATCGAGAGCCTTTGTCTATATGCCTTTGTGATGAATCACTGACCTAATTATAGAATCCAACAGCAAACAGCCAATCAGAATGCCGCGTTCGTGGGCGAACGCGGAAAGTACAAAATACCGGGCCTTGCTTGCAGGCCCACCATCAGTTCCCTTGGGCCTGCACGCGGGCTACGAAAAATGTTGATCAATTCATTTCCTAACTTTGAGGAATTGCTCTGAACAATTCCTCAACAATTTGATAAGTTCCTTAAAAAGTTCCTAACTTCCTGTTTCATTGACCAATCAGATTGGTCAATGAAACAGGAAGTTAGGAACTTTTTAAGGAACTTATCAAATTGTTGAGGAATTGTTCAAGGAACTCCTCGAAGTTAGGAAATGAATTGATCAACATTTTTCGGAACGCTTCTATTGGCACGACTGTAATAAAGGAACTGTCACACTATTGCGTATCGTACTAGAGTATGCCAGCGTATGAAAAATATCACTCATACGCCGGTATACGCTGACATACGCTAGGGGTACATTAGGCGTAGGTTGTATACGTTTCAAGCACGATCGCGTACGGTGGCATACGCTGGCATCCGGCGAGATAAATTTTTTTTTTTAAGCATGCTCAAACATTTTGTGCGTATCGGACGTATGCTTTATACGATAAGCATACTCTAGGCACATGCTGAATATGCTAGAGGTACGCCAGATGTACGGTACTCATACGCTGGCATTTCAAAGGATTTTTGTGCGTACGAAAATTATTTCATTAATTTTCATACGCTTCTCATACGTTTCTCTCATACGCAATAGTGTGACAGGGCCTTAAGAAAGAGTATGTTTATGACATTCAGTATATATAGTTCATAATTCCAGCTGAGGGCCTATTTATATGGAGGCGAGTTACCCGGCAAAGCGAGTTACTCGCCCAGGCGGCCGGGCCAAAACACAAAAAGGATTTAAGTCGTTTGAAACGTTAGAAAACATTACAAAACGTCTTCAAAATACAAGAATAAGAGCGGAAAAATTCAGGGAAACTTATCTATCGATTCGTATGTATTTTTGAACTACTGTATTATATTTGAAATGCAAAGCACATACAGTTCTATCTCCGGCGGCTGAGTTACAATGAGGGCAAAAGTGTTTACATGGAAAATATTCATCTCGCCTAAGCGATATCCCGCCTCTTTCTGCGCGAAGTGACCTTTTTCTTTTGTCAGTCTCACTTATTATGTCTTCAAGACGTGGCAAAATGGATGCCGACAAAAGGAGAAAGGAAAACCGGCTTAATTCAAAGGTCGCGAGTTCAAAACCCAGCTGCGGCAGGCAGAGTTTTCTCCTTCCGCGATCTGGAAATTGTGAAATATCTCACTCGAGAACATTTTCTCCTTATTATTGACTAATTATTACTCTCTCAGATTAAAAGACGAAAAATTCAGAATAGTGAAAAGGTTTTCAGTGTTTGCTGCACTCCTTTAACGACCGAATGTGGAAGGTAAAAATAGAAAAATAAAAATCAATTAGTATTTCTCGAGAGAAATTTGAAACATTGCAAAATGTTTCGGTGTCCATGAGAGAATTTGCCGTCTTTTTCCATAGTTGAAAATATATATCAATGTTATTTTATTGGTTTTCAAAGAGCTAGGGTATAATAATAATAATAATAATAATAATAATAATAATAATAACGAATTTATTGTAGCCTTCCATTTTACATGGCTCTTCATCTACAATGTAACTACTTATTTACTACTTATATACTACTTATAATATATGCTACTTCTTATCATTAGTTAAAACATTAAAATATTGTACATGCACATGCTAGAGTACTGGAACGTAAAAGTTAACCCAAACGTTCTCTTGCTTGATCGAAGAGAAATACTCTTGTTTCAGCACAAAATGTTTCAAAGTTTTTCTCAGCCCTTAGGGTTTGAGGTAGTTTATTGAAACATTTAGCTGCGGAATATTGAAATATGTCCCGATCAATTGGTGTTTCTAAGAGATCTTTCGAGCAAGATCGAAGTCCACTTCTCCCTGGGTTATATAATTTTAGCTTTGCATATTCTGGCCAATGGTCATAGTTCAAAGCTTTGAAAGCAGTTTTTAGCAGATGCCAGTCTCGTCTTTCGAGCAGTGGGAGCCAGCCCAATTTCAAAACAGCGTCTTCTTTTGAAAACTTTCCTGTGACAAAGCATGCGGCGGAAGATTGAACTCGCTGGAGACGCTTTAGTAGTTTGGCAGGAAGAGGATAAAATACCAAGTCACAGTAATCGAGCTTAGATAGTATAAGGGTTTTACAATAGAAAACAGAATAATAGGGTATTACAATAGAAAACAGAATTCGGAGTGTCTATTGTTTTGTGTTTTATAGTAATAGGGTATTACAATAGAAAACAGAATTCGGAGTGTCTATTGTTTTGTGTTTTATTAAAGTATTACAATATAGGTTTTGTTGAACATGAAATATTTTTGGAGATACAGTACATACTTATATTTATTTTTTATCAGTGAAAATGAAGCAATCGGGTTGGCAAGGAGCCTTTAAGAGTGGGCCGGGTTTTTGCATCCTGCGCGCCCCCTCTGAAACGCAACTGCCTGCATGTTAGCTTCGTGTGAAATGCAACTGCCCGCTCTGGTTTTCGCGGCAAAAACCGAGGCGTGTAGCAATTTTTAACCTAAAAAACCAGCCCAAAAAGTTCGAATAACATAGCTAAACGATGGCCAAAATACGAAAATAGATTGCATCAAGCTCTGTATATACTTGCTAAGCAGGATGTACACCAGAATTGACAATATTTTAAGAGAAATGCGACTGAAAGCCAGAAAGCTGCTTTGTATGTATAAAATGTACGCCGAGAAAGCTATATTTTTGTTTTAAATGCTCATCATGTACCCAACCACGTTGCCGGAAGCAACTGAATCTGTCAAAGCCGAAGCGCACGAGGCCTAAACTTTTTATACCGATGCTTTCTGCTACAATATTCATGAAAAGCATGTAAATTTTACTGAAACTATATGTCATTTTGTATGTTTCTTGCCAGTTTCCTCGTATTCGTGTCTATCTTTCAACTTTTCACTTTTTTTGTCAGCCTCGCTTAATTAACGTCTTTAATTTTACATCTGCTGAAAATTAAAGACGTTATTTACCGGCAGCGTCTGTCCGGATGAGAAAAAATGCGCCCTCGGTCTTGAACATACAATTTATAAGCGTCAGCGAGCCATAGAAATGATATGTTCCGTTTGCATATATATATCAGGAAGTTGCATGCGGGAAACGTATCAACGAGAAGCGTTCGCAAAGTTTGCCGCGGGTCGTTTTAATTTTGAACCAAGAGTATTTCGGCTTTGAACTACAAAAAACTATAAATCTTCTGTAAAAGTTCCATTTTTTTCAAGTCCACAAATTCAAGAGACTCACAGTATAGTATTTAAAACAAATGTATAAAAAGTAAAGCAGATCAACTTACGGGCATGTATGATAGGGAACGTCGCAGATTGTCCCATCGGAATCATAGTGTTAAGCTGTCCAGCTGTGAAGTCATCCAGCACCTGAAACGCGAAAAATATTGCCACGGAAATCTTCATGATTCGAAAGAAATTCATATTGAAGCGACGAACTTCAACTTTCAACTGCGTTTTTTTCGCATGGGAGAAATATAATATGACCGTGCCTCATACGACGCGTTCGTGAGAAATAATGCGTTACAATTGGCTGGTTTATAGTAGGCCGCCCCAGGTGTTTGTAATATACATGTCATTTTTAAATTACTAAGAACTCAATCATTCTTTTTTAACCTTATGTTACTGAAATACAATACAATACACTATCAATTTATAATAGACTGTTATATCCTCCTCATTCCTTGTAGATGGAATTTTCGCCTATATAATGCCTGAGGTATATAGCATTATATTAGTTGAAGAATTTTGGAGACAAATTTGTAAACGAGTTAATTTAGAAATTCATTTAACGACAAGACTTTAACCATTGTGAAACATTGGCAGATTGCGGCGAAATTGAGCTAGTTCAAATAGCTGCATTTTTAAACAAAGTTAATTTTATTAGTGCAATTAAGCGTTTATAGTCTATTGTCATTAACCTTTAGATTAGAATTTCAAGGCTCCAAAATGTCGTTGACATAGTAACCAACCTAAACACTCTATCAACACATTAGCATGCATATAGCTGCATTTCTAAACAAAGTTAATTTTATTAAGCGTTTATAGTCTATTGTCATAAACCTTTAGATTAGAATTTCAAGGCTCCAAAATATCGTTTACATAGTAACCAACCTAAACACTCTATCAACACATTAGCATGCATAAGGTTTTTAGGCTGAAAAATTTCTACAGAATTAATTTACGCCCACAATCATTCTATTTGAAGCCTACATTGCAAGAATATACAATATGCATTTTTGATTGTCGGTTATGACCTCTTACTCCGCATAGACAAAATTTTAATTTGTCTCCTAATCCCAATGTGTATAATGCTTATATTAGTCGAATCATTTTGGATACTATTTTTTGTAGCGTTACATTTTGTCCAAAATAGTAGTAGCACGAGTTGATTTAGCATGCATTTTATTTAAAAGACGTTGGTGAAATATTTAATTTTGCTTTATAGTAGTATACAGCAGGAAAAGGAAGCTCTCTAAATGTTGCACTTCTTAGTACACGTTTCTAGACAGTACAGCTGTTGTTGTTTTTTTTTTACTTTTTCACTATAACATTGGAAACAGGGCAGAATTGTCTGTGGAGAAAAATAATTCGTAAAAAAAAATTCATTTTGGGGATTCTGTTCTCAACAACAAAATATCGGTTCTATAGTTTTACGAAAGCAAATCTAGTCCAGTTGACACCAGAAATCGCACTCTAAGCAGAACGCATTGTGACCAGTTGTTCAAAAAATTATACGTGCCATGCATGCTGGGCGGATTGACAGTTTCATGAAGAGTTGTAATAATTTCTCATTAACCTTATGTTAAAGCAAAGAGAGTTGTTCCCCTAGATGGAATTTCAATTTTTCGCCTACATAATGCCTGAGGTATATAGGATTATATTAGTTGAAGAATTTTGGAGACAATTTTTTGAAGCACATTATAAATAAGTCAAAAATGAAAGCACGAGTTAATTTAGAACTTCATTTAAAGACAGGACTTTAACCATTGTGAAACGTTGGCAAATTGCGGCGAAATTGAGCTAGTTCAAATAGCTGCATTTCTAAACAAAGTTAATTTTATTAGTGTAATTAAGCGTTTATAGCCTATTGTCATTAACCTTTAGATTAGAATTTCAAGGCTCCAAAATGTCGTTTACATAGTAACCAACCTAAACACTCTATCAACACATTAGCATGCATAAGGTTTTTTGGCTGAAAATTTCTACAGAATTAATTTACGCCCACAATCATTCTATTTGAAGCTTACATTACAAGAATACAATTGCAATATGAATTTTTGATAGACTGTTATGAACTCTTACTCCGGATAGACAAAATTTTAATTTGTCTCCTAATCCCAATGTGTATAATGCTTATATTAGTCGAAGCATTTTGGATTTTTTTTTGTAGCGTTACATTTTGTCCAAAATAGTAGCACGAGTTGATTTAGCATTTTAGTTAGAAGACTTTGGTGAAATATTTAATTTTGCCTTATAGTAGTATACAGCAGGAAAAAGAAGCTCTCTAAATGTTGCACTTCTTAGTGCACGTTTCTAAACAGTACAGCTGTTGTTGTTTTATTTCACTTTTTCACTATAACATTGGAAACAGCGGCAGAATTGTCTGTGGAGAAAAATAATTCGCAAAAAAAATTCATTTTGGGGATTCTGTTCTCAACAACAAAATATCGGTTGTATAGTTTTTGAAAGCAAATCTGATCCAGTTGACACCAAAAATCGCACTCTTAGCAGAACGCATTGGGACCAGTTGTTCAAAAAATTATACGTGCCATGCATGCTGGGCGGATTGACAGTTTCATGAAGAGTTGTAATAATTTCTCATTAACCTTACGTTAAAGCGAAGCGAGTTGTTCCCCTAGATGGAATTTCAATTTTTCGCCTATATAATGCCTGAGGTATATAGCATTATATTAGTTGAAGAATTTTGGAGACAATTTTTTGAAGCACATTATAAATAAGTCAGAAATGAAAGCACGAGTTAATTTAGAACTTCATTTAAAGACAAGACTTTAACCATTGTGAAACATTGGCATATTGCGGCGAAATTGAGCTAGTTCAAATAGCTGCATTTCTAAAGAAAGTTAATTTTATTAGTGTAATTAAGCGTTTATAGTGTATTGTCATTGACCTTTAGATTAGAATTTCAAGGTTCCAAAATATCGTTTACATAGTAACCATTTAACCAACCTAAACACTCTATCAACACATTAGCATGCATAAGATTTTTTTTCTGAAAAATTTCTACAGAATTAATCATTCTATTTGAAACCTACATTACAAGAATACAATATGCATTTTTGGTAGACTGTTATGACCTCTCACTCCCATGGGCGTACCAGGCGGGGGGGGGGGCGGCAGCCCCCCAGTTTGTTGGGCAGTCGCACAATATTCGCTGAACAGTCGGGCAATATTGGTTAATTAAAAAAATAAATGGAACAAATTCTGTAAATTTTGTGGACAATTTTGTGATGTTTCCAAAATTTTTGTAGGTTCCGGAAAATTTTGATATGTCCGGAAAAAATTTTTGACCCCTAAAATGTGACACTGACCGAAATTTTATTGGCGACGGGGGGTGGGGAGGTCGCGAAAATAAATTCCGGAAGAAAATTTTTCGGTACTTGTCGGGCAAAATCCGGAAAAGTCGATCAAATTTCTTGCCGACCCCCTAAATTTTTCCATCCGGTACGCCCATGCTCACTCCGCTTAGACAAAATTTTAATTTGTCTCTTAATGGCTAAAATCCCAATGCATACACCTTATTTATTCGTTTAAGCGCCGCGGCGCTCTTTAAATTTTTATAGCTTCAGATGCGGCGCTCATTCGGGGGCGGCGCTCAATCGGGGGCGGCGCTCTTTAATTAAAAAATATTTTATTTGTGAATTATGACAAGAACTTTTAACTACAAACTAGACAAGTTTTAAAAGGTTTTTGTCACTAATGCAATGATCTATTGGGATCAAGAAACTACAGTTTTTCAAAACGCCATCTTTTTTTTCATTATGCTAACCGCGTGGTTTTCACGCGTGACGCGCGAGCGTGAAATACTATAATTTCCCACAGCAGATCTGCCGTGCGATATTATCATACCTCGCGCTGCTTTGCGTGAACATGGATTTGAGTGAAATACCGTTACAAATAACAGCGTCACGTGGTGAAAATTTTGTTTTATTGATTGGGTAATTTTATTTGAGGGATAAAATAAACATATAATCGCAGCAAAAATATACCGCGGCTTTAAGTGAGGCTCATACACGCAGTCAATTTTCAATACTCTGCGGCTTATTTAGGCCTTGCTTTCAACACGCGTTTTATTTTAGCAGTGGCTTGCGATCAAATTGACTGTACATGTATATACGAGTGTTTATTGGTTAAGTACAAAATATTTCTTGAATCTTTGGTCGTCAGGTGACCTCACGAATCAACAGCTTGATTTAGGCGAACTGGATAACGTGAGATATTGATTAGCTCATAATAATGTAACTATTGTTTTGTTTTGTGCTGAAACACCACGTGTAATTATCCGACAAAACTTTCTATCAGTCTTAGCATCTAATCATCATTAGCGCAAATATTATAATTAGATTTGTTAATTAAATTAAATGCACTAATGACAATCCGAAGAAGCTTGTGTTTCCCCAAAAGTAAACACAACAATTCTATTCATTTTCATTGTGCAAATATAAAAAAATAATTTAATAATGCTGCAACAATTTTCAGACACTGAACTTCGAAACCAATCAACTTTATTTAAATTACGCCAACATTTTACACTCGTTGATTAATTATATTACTATATTTTGCTCACGGCACAGAAGGTATAATTACACAGGAGTAATTCTAAGTAGATGTTTAGGGTAAGTATATGAAATTAATATCTCAAACGTTTTTAGGAAGCAGTTATATGCCTATCAACATTGGTAATTATAATCAAAAGTTCTCAACAATACATTATCTGTAATTTGATAGCCGAGTGATATCACTAGTTAACCATCTTTCATTGAAGGTGTATTAATAACGGGTCTAGCTATTTTGCGGGCCGCGGGCTGCGGGTCAATTTTTGCGGGCTGCGGGTCAGTTTTTGCGGGCTGCGGGTTAAAACAATTGCGGGCCGCGGGCCAAATTGCTGGCCTAACTAATTTTTTGTTGCATGCCATATATGTTGCATGCAACTATAGGCGTACGGGATGGGGGGGGGGCAGGGGGGGGCAGTTGCCCCCCCCAAAAAGATTACAAAGTCGAAAATTCGGGCAAATGTTCAACAAAAGTCGGGCAAAAAGTAGTAAAAGCAACAAAATCTCTCTCAATAATAATCCCAGTTTGTTGGGCAAACAAAGCCAGTTTGGCAATATTCGCTTAACGTACAGTCGGGCAATATTAGGTTATTATAAAATAAAATGGGACAAATTGTGTAAATTTTGCGGAAAATTATGGCGATTTTCGGGAAAATTTGTTTGATGTTCCGAAAAATTTTAGTATGTCGGAAAAATTTTTTGGACCCCTAAAATGGTACACTGACCGACATTTTTTTGGCGACGGGGGGGGGGTCACAAAAATTAATTGTTCCGGAAAAAAAATTTTCAGCACTTGTCGGGCACAATCCGAAAAATTCGGGCAAATTTCTTTCTGCCCCCCTAATTTTCTCCCGTCCCGTACGCCTATGCATGCAACTTTCATATAGCTCTAAATTTCGTGTCGCGGTGAGCGGCGGTGAGCGTACCGGTCACGTGGAAATTCGTAAAATACGACAAATACCGAGTTTTTCCGACAAGCAATTCATCACTCATGCTCGAGGAAAGAGAAAGAAAAATGTTTGAGTGTTCGCGGAAAATGTACATAATTGAGCGCCTTAGAAAAATAGATCAAGGTAGGTAAAGCTTTGATGGTTTTAATTTTCCTTCTATTCTGTTATTTGTTGTGATTCTGGAGCAGTTGTGTTTGCAATGAATGATTATTTATCAGCCGTTTTTAATATTTAATATATCAAAGTGACTATATGACCGGCAGCCGGTCACGGTTTATCAAATACTAAATGGCCGGCAGTCTAGTGACTAGGGTCTAGCTTTTTTGCGGGCTGCGGGTCAGGTTTTGCGGGCTGCGGGTTAAAACAATTGCGGGCCGCGGGCCAAATTGCTGGTCTAACTAATTTTTTGTTGCCTGCCATATATGGCATGCAACTTTCATTGGCGAGCGTACCGGTCGCGTGGCAAATTCGTAAAATACGAAAAATACCGAGTTTTTCCGACGAGCATTTCATCACTCATGCTCAAGGAAAAGCAAAGAAAAATAATTGAGCGCCTTTAAAAATAGATCAAAATAGATAAAGCTTTGCTGGTTTTAATTTTCCTTATATTCTGTTATTTGTTGTGATTCTGGAGCAGTTGTGCTCGCAATAAAATATTAATCATAAAATGAATGATTATTTATCAGTCGTTTTTAATATTTATATCGTGAAGCCTGGCTACGCTATCAAAATACTCAATTTTTTATATATGCTCAATATATACTATATTGTGTGCAAAACTTCAAAACTACAGTACATTTTGTAAATAGCATGAAATATATTAAAATATCAAACAAAATTCTCATTATACTATTGAAATTTAATACAACGAAATAGTATTCCACGTCGATAATTTCAATCATAGTTTAATAATTATTTTCAATCTATAGTAATTCGCCGTTTCCATGTTTTTTTTAATACTTTCGATAAAGCTACAATAAAGCTAAATTTGTAGGAAATAACATTATTTAGTTATAAAATAGTATAAAAGGAATTCTAACAGTCAATCGCTTTCGATAAAACCTTGACCTTGTTTATATTATCGTCGTTTGCAACTAGCGATGAACAACGTGAGAATCTTAAGTTTTCTTATTTTGACATAATAGCTATTTTACAATAAATATATTGATATTAAACTTATTGAATCAATATTTTAAGTTTCAGGCCAGTTGTACCAAAAGTTATAAGCGGTAGCGCATTATAACCAGGGCACAGAAAGGGTCATACAGAAGCCCAATTTCTTGGTTTTTCCTATGATTTTCCAATGATTTTGGCGGTTAGCACTTTTTTCCATCCAGCAAACCGCCCTATCGATTTTCTAAAGTCGTTTTTTTGCATTTTTTTATTAATTCGATTAGGATTAGAGTTAGGGTTGGGGTTAGGGTTAGGGGTTAGAGTAGGGACTAGGTGTAGGGTTTGTGTTAGTTACATAGCCATTTAAAGGCCGCTTTCCAATTAGGAAAAATTCGTATGCATATGATTACGAATAACTTTAGACATAGAATATACTTCAAAGACAGAAAATTTTGAATAATATTGTTATTTTCTTTACATTTTGACAATATTTTTTTAAAAATTCGTCAGGCTCGCAACTAGACCCGCGGCTTGCAATCGTGTTAGCATTTTTCTGCCCGCAGCCCGCATTTTTCTGCCCGCAGCCCGCAATTTTTGGCCCGCAGCCCGCATTTTTCGGCCCGCAGCTCGCATTTTTCGGCCCGCAGCCCGCATTTTTTGGCCCGCAACCCGCATTTTTTGGCCCGCAACCCGCATTTTTTGGCCCGCAGCCCGCATTTTTTGGCCCGTAGCCCGCAGTTTCGGCCCGCAGCCCACAACCCGCAGAATAGTTAAACTCATTAATAACTACTTATTAACCGAGCGCAAGGTCTTTACAGAGAAATATCGGACCGAGGTCTTTTTTGTACAGACCGAGCCCGTAGGGCGAGGTTTGTACAAAAAGACGGACATCCTAAATTTCTTTGTAAAGATCGAGCAAGCGAGGTTAATAAAAAGTTTATTATATGGAATTTATAGGCATTTATACTCGAGAAAAATATGAAATGCATGATTTGAAATGCATATTAGTAGCGTGGTACACATTTGATCGAAGAAAACAAACATTACCAATGTATTCCTTCCTTTCCACTTAAAGTGCCTATATCATGGTTTTGGAGTTTGCATATCTCGTACGTTTAGGGTATTTTAAGGCACTTTGCAACTATATTTTGTTATTGAAAAATTTCATCTTGATGGATTTATTAGCTCTTAAATTTATCGGACATGACATCAAAAGGAGAATTGCAAATCAGTTTTCCTTTGTATCATTGCAACGAAATTCTCCTTTTGACGTCATGTCCTGTAACTTTAAGAGCTAATAAATACGTTATTTTCGATATATTCAGGCTTTCTCGGGTTTTATGTGACGTCACTTGGGGGACTAGTCAAGGATAAAGGATGGCCTTTATGTTGCTTTTATTTATTGGCTTTTTTTAGTGGTCGGAGAACTCGTTCACATAAGATGCGTCGGCAGCCATCATGTTTCTTTCTTGTTTTAGTTGACTTCAATTCAATGATTCCCCCTACTTGAGTCAAATTATGTATAGTTTATTTTGAGGCAACGAGGTGATATGTGATTTATTCACCGAGGCGCGCAGCGCCGAGTTGAATAAACACAATCTCCGAGGTGTAACGTACTTATTTTTCACATTGCGAGGTCGCGTTATATTAATGAGTCGGAATAGAAATATTCTTAATACCATATTTCCTTCGTTATGTTTTTTTCCCATTTTTGTGCTGCAAATACATTACAGGTGAATATATATTAGAGGGCGTTATTAAAGGAATGTTGATTAGAGAGGAATATTGAATATATTCACCGATAGGAGAAAAGGAAACCGAGCAACGTGAAAAATAAGTTAAAATATCTGGCCGTTTGAAACCCAAGGAATCGGTGTTTCTTTAGAAAATTAGTTATTCGCTCTTTTTTACTGTATGCCTCAGAATTTAAAGCTTTCGGACGACTTGCATGTCGTTTCAAGGTCATGCTTAAGACAAGATTTCGTGTTCGTCAACTAAGTTAAATTTAAAATTGGTTTAATTAAACAATAACAATGTTCGGTTCATCGATTATATCGAGATGGTTCTACACAAGAGAATACACCTCGACTTGAGATGGGGTAAATAACTGGCTTCCTGCCAAGATGGTCTTGCGGTCGCTCACGTCAGATGGAGATTTGTAGGACGAAACAAAATATGTGACAGATTTGGCGTTGGAATCAGCATTGTCGTATATTCGCAAGTCCGTCGGCTTTCCAAACGATGGTCCACTATTAGGAAATGCCTTAATTGCTTCACCATCAGTTTGATTTTTTAGTGGAGCTTTAAATGGCGGGAGATTTTCATTGTTTCTCAATGAAAAAATGAAGGACCCTGGAGCTTGTTTCGTGACAAATTTACCTGTTATAACGTAAATATGCTGTTTTAATTAATATACAGGGTTTCTGAAAAAAACGCTACGGAAAATTAAACGGTCGAAATCACATTCTTCCACCGTTGCGGAGAATTGAAAATACATTAATTATGCAAAGTTTATCAATCCAAAAGCAACGCGAGCCTGCTGGAAGGTATTTGTTTCGTAAAACGTTTTGATTACGAATGTTCTCTGTTCAGAGGTTTATTGAACCATGTTTAATGCAATAATGACGTTCTTATTGTTACACTAAGACGAAGGTTGACGAGTTGAGCTCATTTTAGATATACAGCAGGGCATTTTTTAACTATAACTGGAGGGCAAAGCCCCCTCCAGCCACCATGGTGCTCCCCCGCTCAACCATTTTACCCCCTCCTCCCCAGTCAAAGTCCCTTTTCTCTAAAATATAAGCAAAACATGGAATTTAGAAGGGAGGTGTGATATTCTAGTAACTGAAATTTGGTTTGTTAATCTTATGTCCTGTCTTTTATCTTTAATGCTAAACATTGTGTTGTAAATGCCTTATTAGATTTTAAACATTTTCCACTGAATTGCATTTCCCAGACCATATAGATTTGAGTTGGTGGAAGGCTCGGCTAAACACGTTAGTGACGCAGGGGGCAACGGGTCCCCAACGCGGTGTTTTATAAGGGGAAGGGGAATAATTTTGCCCCCCCCCCCACCACCAAAAAAAAAACAATTGATTTCGAAACTAGAAGTATTTGAAATCGTATATTCGTATATATATAATCAAATATCTGTAATCGATATTTTCATAACGACATTTCTCGTAATAATCCATCCTGACTCGCGGATAGCATAGACTCACAAACCATAATGAACGAATTAATGAGGGCCTAACAAAAGAGGTAGAGAAGACTTTGAAAATGCCATTTCCGACGATTTAGAGACACAAAATATTAAAAAATTTTCCGTTCTGTGCCAACCATGGTGGCGCTTCGTGGGAGTCACGCCCTCTAAGTTTATCAAGCTGGCTCCCTGAGTGACGGCCAAGTTGTGGTATCTACATACTGAACATACTATGCAAGTACTGAACTGAAGGTTCAGTCTATCAACAACATAATGTAATGCTGTATATCCAAAAATCTGTTTCAGAAAATGCAGGTAATTCATAGGAGTAGAAAAATACAAATATTTGCTGGGGGAGAAGACCCCCAGACCCCC